AGCAGGAAGGCGGAGCACGGTGCCTGCATCTGTGTGCTGGCCACATGGCCAAGCTCCAAGGAGGGGGTCCTGGCAGAGACTCTATGCAGGGGCTTCCAGCTGGGCCGTGGGTCAGGTGACCAGAACGTGAACTGTCACCACCAGGCACATGGGCGTGGTAGGCAGACAGGCTGAGCATATGGCTAAGCTGTGTCTGCACTGAGATCCAAGCATAACGGAAGCCTCCAGTTGGGGTGGGGGAGACAGACTGCTATTGTGGTGGTAGATTGAAGTTCCAAGTGGGGAGAGGCAGTTGTCTTGAGCTGAGGGGCAGGTCAGAGGGCAGCAGGCCCAAGGAGGCTGGGGGTAGGGAGGGGTGTCCTTCACCCACCCACTCAGCACCACTGGGTGGCCCCAGCCCTGGGACACAGAGCCCTGTCGGGGGCAGTGGTCAGAGAAGTCCTCTCCCGTGAGATGATTGAGCCAAGACCGGCAGAAGGGAAGGGAAGGAGGGAGCGTGAGGACCATCGGGGAGGGCGGACCCCAAGGGGAGCGGGTCCCTCCTGCTCAGGAGAAGCAGGAGCAGAGGCGAGAGGTTGTCAAAGTGCTCTTGTCACCAGACTGATGTGGGCGGGAGGGGAAGGTGGGAGGCCAGGTTAGTTACTCCCCATCCAGGCAGGAGCAAAGGGTGGTTTGGCCTGGATGTCTCAGGTATAACGAGAGAGAGATCCAGTAGAGCAGAGTTTCCTTGTCCTTCAGGTGTGAAAATGGGGGTGGCTCCCGGTGTGACAATCAGCCTTGTGCACGTCTCTGTCACAGAAGGATGGATGCAGCAGCTGAGCCCTGGTACCAGCTAACAAAGTGCAGTCACAGTGCAGGTGCCAAGAGGTACAGGTTGCTTTGGCGAATGGGGCACAGTCACTGAAGGCTTCTCTGTCAAATGGGATGGAGTCTGACATTCCAGAGTCATCACCATGCAGTCGGAGCCAGTTCTGCTTCCTTGAAGGGAATGGGCCCTGCACCTCCTGGCCTGGGCCCAGGCCCACACCTGTGAAGCCAGTGGTGGGCGCCCAGAGAATGAGAGCTGGGCCAAGCAGCCGACTCCAGGCTTGTGCATCTGGAACAGGAGGCAGGTAGAATGTCTAGCAATGCAATGTGCAGGGAGCTGTGTTTTCCTTGAACAGGTGGGAGGGTGAGTGCCAAGGTTTGGGACACGCTCCGAGGTAAAGGCAACAGGACCTGCTGATGACCTGCTGTGGGTCAGGGAAAGGACAGCCAAGGGGCTGCTTTGACTCAGGCCAGGATTTTGGCCGGCCTTAGTCAGGAGACTGCAGGTGCTTTCCTGAGATGTGGGGTCTGGGGGTCAGGTTAGGGTTGGTTTTCAGTTGCTGTGCAGCCTGGTCCCCTCAGCTCTTGCCAGCCCCTCACAGTTCCCTCGAGAGTCCTGGGACCACCACCACCCGTGGGTCCCATGCTCCCAGACTTGTCTGTGTTTCCCTGTTTCCTTCCACGTGACTTCCTGTTTGTCATTTCAGATTGGGACCACAGGACTGAGGGCAAGGAGTTTCTTCGGAGGGAGGAAGCTCCTGAGGATTTGGAATCACAGGCAGAAACATCAGAAAACCATGCCAGTGATGTTTCCCAGACACCTGAGCTTGGAGAACTCCGTGACGGTGCATTAGAAAGAGACTGGGAGGTCCCTGAGGATGAGAGACAGGCGCAGTCCCCCTGCTGGGAGGGGGACTTCACACCAGTGCAAGTGCTTCTCAGGAGCTCCTCAGGAGAGAAAGAGGTGGACTGTGACAAGGTCAAGAGAGGCTTCAGTCTGAGCCCAAGCCCAGTGGCATGTCAGGGAGCCCCTGCAGAAGAGAGGCCACATCTGCACGACACACGTGGCCAGAGCTTCCCACGCAGTGTGGGCCTAATCAGCTGTGAGGGGCTTCACGCAGCCGAAAGCCCATTCATATGCAACGAGTGTGGGAACACCTTCCAAGGAGGCCCCGATCTTATTCAGCATCAGACAGCGCACACTGGACAGAAGTCCTTCATATGTAATGAGTGTGGAAGGCCCTTTAGCACACATTCAGACCTCCTCAGGCACCGGCTTACCCACCGCGGAGAGAAGCCACACGTGTGTACTGAGTGTGGAAAGGCCTTCGGCCAGAGCTCCAGCCTTAAAAAGCACCAGAAGTCCCACGTGAGCGAGAAGCCCTACGAATGCAGTGAGTGCGGGAAGGCCTTCAGGAGGACCTCCAACCTCATCCAGCATCAAAGAATCCACTCCGGTGAGAAGCCATACGTGTGCAACGCCTGTGGGAAGGCCTTCAGGCGGAGCTCCAACCTTATCAAACACCAGAGGGTCCACACAGGGGAGAAGCCCTTCGAGTGTGACGTGTGCGGGAAGGCCTTCAGCCAGAGCTCACACCTGAGGAAGCACCAGAGGGTCCACACCGGGGAGAGGCCTTACGCGTGTAGCGAGTGCGGCAAACCCTTCAGCCGGGTGTCCAACCTCATTAAGCATCACAGGGTCCACACGGGGGAGAAGCCCTACAAGTGCAGTGACTGTGGGAAGGCCTTCAGCCAGAGCTCGAGCCTCATCCAGCACCGGAGAATCCACACTGGAGAGAAGCCTCACGTGTGCAGTGTGTGTGGGAAGGCCTTCAGCTACAGCTCAGTGCTCAGAAAGCACCAGATCATCCACACGGGAGAGAAGCCGTATGAGTGCAGCATCTGTGGCAAGGCCTTCAGCCACAGCTCTGCACTCATCCAGCACCAGGGTGTGCACACGGGCGACAAGCCCTATGAGTGTCGCGAGTGCGGGAAGACCTTCGGTCGCAGCTCCAACCTCATCCTGCACCAGCGAGTTCACACTGGAGAGAAGCCCTATGAATGTACCGAGTGTGGGAAAACCTTCAGCCAGAGCTCAACTCTCATTCAGCATCAGAGGATCCATAATGGGTTGAAACCCCACGAGTGTAACCAGTGCGGCAAAGCCTTCAACAGGAGCTCAAACCTCATCCACCACCAGAAAGTCCACACTGGAGAGAAGCCCTATGCGTGCATCGAGTGTGGGAAGGGCTTCAGCCAGAGCTCGCACCTCATTCAGCATCAGATCATCCACACCGGCGAGAGGCCCTATCAGTGCAGTGAGTGTGGGAAGTCCTTCAGCCAGCGCTCGGTCCTCATCCAGCACCAGAGGATTCACACTGGGGTGAAGCCCTATGACTGCACGGCTTGTGGGAAAGCCTTCAGCCAGCGGTCAAAGTTGGTCAAGCACCAGCTGGTTCACACCAGGGAGTGAAAAGAAACCGCATGAGACTCCACCCCGACTGCCCTGGCAATGTCCCAGCCTCTCCCATCCCGAGACTTGAGCTGGGCTCTCTCATTCCCTCCACTCCACAGCCACTGCCCACAGAGGCCATTGTCCACAAACCAGAGACCCTCCTGTGAGACAGGCTCCCCCCGCGACTCCCCTGCCGTTGCTCCTGCTGCGTGTGACCTCATTTCTTTTTGGTTTGTTTTTCCAGTTTGTTATCAGACTGCCGTATTTGTTAGAAGGGAAAAGATTATAGAGGCTGCATACTTAGGAAGAGAGTTTATTACTGTAACGGAACAAAACCAAGGAAGTAGACTGACATTCAGTTTGAGATATGACCACAGCACTTCTTTTGTTTGGTCACTAGTCATAAGAACTGAGTTTGCTGTCAATGGCTGCAGTTGGCATTCTGTTTACATAAAGTCAGGTCAAGAGTGTTTCAAGTCTGGTTGCTGTCACCCTCCCCCAGAGGTGGTGCATACTCGTCACCACCAACTCCTCACCCCTCTCCCTCCCATCCCATAATGGGATTCCCCCGCTGCCCCCTTTCCTTGGTGCCTGCCTGCAGTCTGAGGTCGTGTGTTCTCCTCACTCTGCTGTGCCTCAGGCCCCCGTGGCCACACTCGGGGCTGCAGCACAATTAAATGTGAGGCTTTTCCCCAAGCTCCAGTCCTGGCCTCACCCACAGAGGTCCATTCTCTCCGTGCCCCTCCTGTTCACCCCACAGGCTCCCAGGCTGTTTTTTCCTAGGTCCATCATCAGACATTTATGGGGCACCTAGGTGCCCCTAGGAGGTGGGCACTGGTCCCATAATCCCCAAGCCGGGGGAACTTGGCCCAGAAGCAACACCTCTACCACCAGGGAGGCTTTGACCTGGGGGTGTTATGGGATGGATGGGGTGGGGTGGGGGGCACCTCCTGCATTGCTCCAGGAGAAAGGGTAGCAATGGGCAGGTATCGTCAGGTTTGTACTTATAGTGGGAAGGTAAGGTCTTGGCTCCTGTGTTTTCAAGGAAGTAGAGGCAAGGCCAGCAGTGGCAGGTGCAGAGGGAGAGGTGGTGGGAGGTTGGAGAGAACAGAGTGTGGAAGGGTTGACTTGGATGCACAGGTGTGTCCCGTGGGCTTGGGCAGCATGGGCTGCCCACCCTCACCCCAGAGACCCTGCGAAGCAGCTGCCACTGCTGCCCTGCAGAGGCGTCCGTCACACCCTCCTCTCCACCTCAGCCCCTCCCCCCCCAAGGCAACACCCCAGTGGGATGCAGCTTGGACGGCAGTCCTGCCCTGCCACCCTCCAGCTCCCCACCCCGGTCTCTGCCTAACGAGACCTTGCGCTCTCACTGTAGGGCAGCTCCTCATCCAGCCTGGATTTGATGACTCCCATTTTCAGTAAGTACGTGCTGGACACTTGCTCTGTGCCATTCACAGTGGGGATACAGCAGGAAACAAGAAAGACAAAAATGCCTGCCATCAAGGAGTTTGCATTCCAGTGGGGGAGAGAAAATTGTCTAACAGTTATGATTGCTGTGATGAAAAGTAAAGCAGGAGATGGGGTCTGGGTATTTTGAGGGTCTCAGTCTTAAATGGGGGCAGAGAAGGCCTCAGTGAGACGTCGTGTGAGCTATGACCTGCAGCAAGTGAGAGAATGACCCAGGAAGGTGGGTTAGGGTTAGGATTGGCAGCAGCAGGGGGCCTGTGGGCCAGGGGCGCGGTGACAAAGAGCAGACAGGTGAGACCGTGGGCGGGCCCCACAGGCCTGCAGCTTCTACTCTGGGTGGAATGGCAAGATGTAGACGGCTTGGACCTGGCGTGCATCTCAGGAGGGTTGTCTGCTGTGTGGAGAAGAGGTTGGCGGGGCAAGCGTGCGCCCTTCTGTCACTGCCTTCTCAGCTCCTCTTCCCCTTCCCCGGCCTCCACACCGCTAGCGAATCCCGAGGCCGAGGCCCAGGCGAGCGACAGCTGTCACCTCTGGGAGCCAAAAGGTCCACAGAAAGGGGCTTCTCTGCTCCCTGAGCCCTGCAGGCGGCTGGGGAGAATTCACCTGATTTTGTGCCGTCCGCAGCTTGAGAAATTTTAATTTCAGGACGTCATGTTTTGAAAGAGGAATGGTCTTGAAAAGCAAATGTCCACCAACCACAGCCTGTCTTCCCTTTTGACTTTCACGGTGTCCTTGGAAGTGTATTCCTTGGGGAGTAAGGGCTGAGTCCGTGAGATCCATAGATAAAGTCACTGACCTCGGGCCTGGGTGCCTCGTTCCCGGGTGGCCAGAGCCTGGCCACAGCCTCAGGGAGTGGCTCCGAAGGGGTACACATCTGTGCCCCTGGGAGAGTAAGAGCCATGATTTCAAATAGAGCTTCCCCAATTTGACTTTTTAAATTTAAAATCAACATCATTCTAGAAAATGCAAATGTTGAAAAGGGGGGAGAAAAGGGAACACTCTTGCAATATACTCCAATAAAAAATACTATTTTTTAAAAAAAGAAAAGAAAAGGGGGAAAGATATCATACATAATTCCACCACTTAACTCATTCTCTAGGGACAGCAGTGCAGGGCTGAGACTTGGTCTGAGCAAGAAGCAGAGACGGGGAGCACAGCCACTGTCCAGAGAGCTACCTGGACTCCTCAAGTGGGGAGGTGAGCAGTAAGTTTCAGGTGGACAACATACTGATTCACAATTATTAAAGGTTATACTCCATTTATAGTTATTATAAAATATTTGCTGTATTCCTTGTGTTGTACAGTAGATCCTTGGGGCTCATTTTATACCTAATGGTTTGCACCTCTTACTTCCCTACCCCTATCCTGCCCCTCCCCCCTTCCCTCTCCCCACGGGTAACCACTAGTTTGTTCTTGACATCTGTGAGTCTGCTTCTGTTTTGCTATGTTCACTGGTTTGTTGTATATTTGTAGATTCCACACATAAGTGATATCATACAGTCTTTGTGTCTGACTTATTTCACTTAGCACAACGCCCTCCAAGTCCATCCGTGTTGTTGCAAATGGCAAATTTTCATTCTTGTGTATGGCTGAGTCGTATTCCATTGTATATACAGGCCCATTTTTCTGGGGTCTGACTGTTGACAGTGTTTAAGCCTCACCCCTCCTCCCCCGACCCCTGTGCCACACTGATGGGAAAGCCCGGGCGCCCTTCCCTCAGGGCCAGCAGAAGGTTCAGACCACCCAGGCACCTGCTGGAACATGGGGGAGGGGGCTCCCTCAGCCCCATCCCAACCACAGTAAGCACCCAGGCCAGTCTCCTTTGCCCGTGCTCTCAGACCACTTTGGACCTTCTTGGGAGCCCTGCCCTGCTGACCTCAGTTAGGTAAGTGGTAAGCCTTTTCCTACACTTGGGGTGTGTGTGGCATCATCAGTCTTCACATGAAACCAAATATTCGGTGGGGGGTGCCCAGCCACCTCTCCAGGTGACCATGAAAGTTGGGAGTGGCATTGTGAGCAGGAAGCCCATGCGGTGACGTCACCCGGGAGTCTCTCCCCTTGCTCCGTTACCAACTGGCCCGCTGGCTGCAGGCTGGCATCACTCAGCCATGCTGCGCGTGTTGCATTGTTGAATCCAGTGGAGCCTCGTAGAGTTAGCGGACCGAAATCAGCAATTTTCCTCATACTTAATTGGTGTTTAGGGACAAGAGTATGGAATGGGGACCCTCCTTAAAGTGGCCTTGGGTTGTGTGTCGGATCCCAGACCTACCTCCATTTGAGAACAAAGCTGCAACTGACTAGGCTCAGGAGAGAGACTATACCCCATGCAAGATACGCATCCATTGGGTGGTGACTCATGGAAGAGCATAGGTGAGGCTGAGGTCCACACTCCAGGGCAGAAGCTCTCCAGGACCCTTAAATCCTGCCACTGCTGCTGCTTCAGCCAGCATCTGTGTCACAGTGAAAACCCTCATGCTCAGGGTTCTAGAGAAAACACTCCCGGCACAGCCAAGGGATTAATTCAAATCCAAATTAAGCCTAGGGTCCTTAACCCATATCAAGCGGCCATTGCCAGGGGGAAGCACTTGACCTGATGATACTGACTGAAGTCTCCCTGGAGGAAGAAATTTATCAATGTGAGTGCAGTAGAGAGGACCCCCTTGAAGTATATCCAGACCACACACACCCCCAAAAGAGAAATTGTGGACAAAGAAATTCACAATTTGACCCAACTTGACATTCTGAATTTACTAAAAGAACTTACATAACAAAAAGAGAAAAGGCTTTTGCGTCTTTGCGACATGGGTGCTGAATTTATACCTGCTGAAACGCACCAGTTGGCAGACCTTCATGGACTTTATACTGGGTGTCAATTTTCAGTTATACCTGGGGATCCCACCAAATTTATACAAGGGCCCCTACAATCATAACAGTCAATGAATACAAAATAGAGGACAAATAGGTATGTCTCACCCTAACCATCAGAAGTACTGCCTTGCCTAAATTGGTCATAATCAGAGCACCCACTGGCCTAGAGTATTCCATAGCGAGCATGGATGCTCTGACCCAACAAGTAATACAAAGTGGCTTGAAACATGGGACCCAGTTAAAATTACTTCATCCAATCACCAACCGCTAAGTATTTTGCTATTAGCGATTTGGCTAATATGTTCTGTTCTGGGCCTATTTCAATAGCCCCTCAGCCACAGTTTGCCTTCACCTCTGAAAGGACACAGTATACCTTTTCTGGGATCCTCATGGGTACCTTGGCAGATGAGGTATCAGCTGTGTGCACCTTTCTTCAGGAGCACAGGTGTGACATTACACTGATGACATTCTCCTCCAAGGAGAGCCATGTGGCATCCATTCATTTGTCATTCACTCAGGACGTAGAAACACAAAGGGCCTCACCAGAAAGGAGCATAGTGCAAGGTCCTGCCACCTCTGCTCAGTTCCTGGAAATGATTGGTTAACCAAGGGTGGATCCATCCCTGATACTGTCAAGAAACAGCCACTGACCTTCTCACCA